CGGGCGGTCAGGTGGGTGTCACCCGCAGTCCCCGGTCTTCCTTATGCACGACATATGCGTGGACCGTAAGCAATTAATCACAGACTTGGAACGTTGTAGATAAAACACAAATTGCTCTGTTGGGTATACTAAGTCTATGATACATATCGATTCAGATTCGGCCAGATGCAGGGGAAAACATAAAACCAGGGGAAAAGATAAACGAAAAAAAGAGAATTAAACAGACGTTCAAACGGTCAGAATGACAGGTCACAACGGCAGACAGGGGGGAAAAAGAAAAAAAGACACTATGCGCCTGATCAGTGCTATGGTGACGATCGCACAGTAACCCCGGTCAATCCTAGGCACCAAGACGGGGGCTGTAGACAAGTTCGCATTGTCCAATTGAGGTGCAGCGGCTGAGGAGCTGCACCATTCTCCGCATCTGCGCGTCACAGGTAGGTCAAGATCGAATGGGTGAAATGAAAGCCCCACAGAAGACCGGGGGGTAATTAATAGTGTCAAGAGTTGGAGACAAAGAGCAAGAAATAGAAAGGCTATTAATGCAGCTCGAGGGAATGGTAGCGCCGGCGCTGGGTCCCATAGCGGACGAGTAGGGTTGCTGAAGAGCGAGAGGACAAAGAAACAGAAAAGTGAATCCCAAAAATGAGAATTAAAAAAATTGTCCGAGGCCCATTCAAAACAATTTTTTTTTACCACGCGCATAAAGCTGTGGCTAGCGATGCATCGTCGCATTGGAATGCCAAGAGGCACCCATGGACGGTGGAAAAGCTAGCGGTCTTTGGTTTGCCGTATCAAGACCAACTTTAAGCAAGGGCGTGATTTTGTTTAGGCGGTAGGCGGGACCATAGTGTAAATTAGGTGTTGAAGGTCCGAATCGAAAACAAAGAATCGCAGGTGAGATCGAAACTAGGTCGAAGTCGCAGTCATAATATCCATGCTGAGAGGGTCCAGGTCATGGGCGGATCTGGTGGACCAGAATGCGCCGGGGTCATCATGTTCGTTGAGAAGAGGGGACTGTGGACTGTTTATTTCGGAAGCGGAGGTAGAGGGCCCTTAGGAGGAGGACCGGGGCATGGAGGGAACTGAGAGGATCCGACGGAAGGCATTGTGAATTGTGTTGGAAGGGTTGGAAGGTTTGAAGAGGGTTGATGGTAGTTCTTCAAGGTTGACAGATTGGATAACCCAAGAAGCTAGTAGGACGTAGCAGAATAAGGTATAGAGTAGAGTAAAGTGGATGGAGAGAAGGGGAAGGAAAAAAAGGTTACGGGAGTAGGGCTCTTATAGAAATCAAAGTCTCCCCCTCCCCCAACCTTTCCGGTCAACCGTCACTATTACAGACTAAATTAGGCCCTAAAATCCCCATCGAACATCCCTGCCATGAACAGGAGGCTGAGTATCCACCTGATCTGACGTAGGAATTTAATGCGATTTACTTGCTCAACTTGGCCCTCGGGCAAGGCAATGAATAATGCAGCCCCAAGTGGTAATCCAATAGAAAATTCCCATTTTTTTCTAGAAGTTCCCCACTCCTTCTCTTGTGGCGCTTTCTGTTTCCTGTGAACCACTAGTGGAGGAGAGTGGAGGGAAAATGAGACATAGTAATCAAACATATATGTCGTGCTACCTCAATATATACATAGTATATACAGATGAAGGTTAGGGTACATGGACTAAGTATGCAGCTCTTCTAATTTTCTGCTTAGGTCTCACAACCCCCCATGTACAGTAAATCATGAAACCACGCGAGATGACAACTGGTAAAGGGCAATCTCCCGTGGGCCCACCAAGGCTCCATAGGGACGGTTCCTTGATGCGGTGAGAACGACTTTTTTTTTCCCATTTTCTTTTCTTTTTTTAAAGAAAATGTTTCTTTTTATTAGTTGTACAACCTCTAATTGGAACATGATAAACCACATAGGTCCAAGCACACCTGATCCTTTATGACTCAATAGGAGAGAACAAGACGTCAGATCACAACACGTGCATGTTTGCAGATCCCGAGAGAGAGTAGCGTTAGTGGGAAAAAGAAAACTAAAAAGAAAACTAAACTAGAAGAAAAAGAAAATATTGGAAGATTTTTCAATTTTTTCGTTGACTTAGGGCCAAACGGGATGGCCGATTCGTATTGATTACACACTAAGGGCGCGACAGCCGAGATCCCAGAATGCTGGGATTACATACAGAATAAGGATACGCCTGTTCATCCGACGGATTCGTTCCCGAACTTTCTTGAACAGATATATGACATATCATGCACATATCTATGCCAACCGAGCCAGGTACATATGCACACTCCGTATACATTTAGACAATAACGACTAGGGTGGTACGGTCCCAGGGGTTAGACCAAAAAGGAGAACAAAAAGAAAATCCCAAGGAAAATGAAAATGAAAATGAAAGAGGGTTGAAGTCGCCAATCGAGGACCCATTCTAAACCGTGGGGTTTTTTACCCGTCCTACCAAACTAGATCAAGCCATGGTTGAGACCAGAATACACATAGAACCCTTTGGGGTAATTGATATTGGGCAGTTCTAACGGGTTTCGCTTTGAGTACTCCGTACTCCGGTTGCATGCACTTCGGCTATAATTCCAAATTACTATATACTCCATACTACTCCGTACTCCGTACTCCATTCATAATCCCCTTTTTTTGCTTATCTTTTATCACTCACTCCCGCTTAGGCCCTCCGGGGTTCTAATAACCACATGTAATACAAATGAAGTCCGATTTTGAGTCGTTTAACATTTCACACACAGCATTACACACACCCACCCTACCGGAGTACAGAGTCAATTAGCCTCCGCCTATAGCAATATTGTGGCTGATAGTCCCTGGCCAGGATCGTCTTCCTGCAGAGGACTGTGCATTGCACATCATCATTTCGAAAGTACGGAGTATGCAGAACAGCGTCGTAGCACATCTGGAGAAGGATGGATCCCTGTATGCAATATATGACCCCAGTCCTCATGATTATTGGCTGATGGTGAAGATTACATCGAGAGGGGTTTGTTCAACATTTCCCCCTCCCATCCCCTTAGTGGTTACGTTGTGCACATCACTGGGCCTGAAGTTTCACGATGGGAGATCGACTTCACCCCCTGGTGTGGCGTTCATGGCGTGCTTTATTATAGGTAGTGGTTACGTCTGTTGAGTGTGTGTAGTGTGAGCATCTTGCGTGAACCAGGTGTGCCAATATATAGATACGGAGGACAGACTGCTACTATGTACTACTGAGAAACTCTTTAGCTTCGGAATGTTCACAGTCTTCCCCGGAGATTATCCGGGCCTAAACAAATGTAATGCTCTCCCGTTACATCCGCCGTGTTCCTTGTTTTCAAGATTTTTTTAATCACGGCATATAAACCCAGGCAGATAGATTATCACAGTAGACATGGTACCGTATTCCTGGATTCCACATCAATGCACCCTGCCCTATGTAGTAATCCCGTGCCAACGTTATGCCCTTCGGGAATACCTTATACAAGATAACGGGTACTCGGGATTTGTAAAACGAGACCCCGCATGTGTTCAAAGGGGCAGGTAAGATTTTAAATACTAAGATAATCATTGGAACCTATATTAGAAACATCATTTAACTTCCCGGCTTACCGTGTTGGAAAAGGCAAGGCATATATATAAGTGGAGTTTCGTGGCAAACATATGCGACCACACGGGTGTACCTGAACTAAGGCCGGGGGAACCAAGAAAAGGGGAAAAGAAAAAGTGGGAGTGGCAAAAAAGAAAGTGGGAAGCAAAACACATGGGAAAAAACTCTATGAACTAGCAGACCGCAAACTTCAATAAGCCCAGTTAGGCAAAGTCAACTCCACTTAGATTGCACGCCGTTCCGCACCGTTGGAAAAAAAAAAATTAGCTGTGGAGAGTCGGAGATTTATGACTTGTTTAACAGATCGGGAATTCCCCCTGATCGTAGCACGATCGGTTTGAGATATTCATATTGCCTGTTTATTGGCTCTTACTTTGGAGGCCAAGATATTAGTTCTGATGCTTGGGAGACAAATATACTAACTAGTATGGAGCATATAAAAAAAATCACTCGTAGTATTTGTGTTAATTCTAGTACGGAGTACTTGTCGGAGTACTGGACAGTGCGTCCGAAAGCACATCGGAGACTAAAATACTTCTCCATTGAGTTGGGGTCACGGGACGAGAGGCGGGCTGTTTCAAGTGGAGCTCCACTTGAAATTCTTCTAGCTGGCCTTCTGGAAGTTGCGGCCCGAGGTTGGGAGAGCCCGTACCACATGGAGATTTTGAGATTGGCAATCGAAATGTCTCCGAATGGAGAATCCACGAGCGAGACTAGTTTCATGTCCTTGCCCGTATTGTCGTAGAGTGTCATGAATCAGACCGAAACATGCAAACCAAGTGCCATGTACGGAGTAGAAAAGCCAACATCAGACCATGTCTTGTAGCATGCAGATCATCAAGACGTCACTGCTTGCATGCTTTCGGTGCATGGCTAACATTTTCGTCTTAGTGGCCCTAATTACCTGGCACCGTGTTTGAAAAAGTCATCCAGGGAGTATGACAACCCGCCACTTGCGTAACCTGCTTGATCTTCGGTGACACCCACCTGCCGATCACAACAATGCTAGTGCGAATCCCGTCACAGCCCGGTAGTGTGAAGGCCTTGTGCTCTCCTAGGTGATACCAAGCCTCGTAGACTCTGGAGTCAACGTGCATCCCTGAGCCTATGATCCGACAAGATGAGACAAAGTCTCTGGCACATTGTTTCCAAGGCGGGCAAATGGAAGCACAATATTGTAGCGTTTGCAGATTGAAACAAAACACCTCACCAATAATTATGGTAGCATTGCGGGCTGGTAGTGTCACGAGACCCTTTGCGGCTAATCGTCCCGTCACGGCTACTCACAGTACAAGGTTGAGAAAGCTTAACCGCTTAACCGTAAGCAAGATCCCTGGCGGCCACATTAAGCATTGCCAGCCCCACCCTCGCCGATGACCTAGCTTTGATCAGTCGTCGACAGAAGCCTGAGCCTGAGTTGAAATCCATTCTTCCATCAAAGGCTGCCGATTTGTATCAGAGAGGACGGCACTTTGCCTGGTTTTGTCGCCCTTGCGAGTTATCAGCAGGCATAACACCCATCCACAGATATTAAAGCTCTCATAATGGGTGCTGAAACGGAGCTTCTTTTCGTCACTGCCAATCGCGTCTTCGAGGGGCAATTGGTTCTCTCTGGTTGTCCGACTTCTCTTACTTGACCGACGTTCATTTCCCAGCGCAGCTTCATCCACAGATTCGGGGATATTGTGCAATTCCAGCTCAGGCTCACTGTCACTCTCGATCATAATTTCACCATCTGCCGAGCTAACCGGGTTGTCGGCCGTCTCGCCAGATACATGGTCTGGTTTCAAATCCACATCCAACTCTTGGTTCTGATTTTCCTTTCCTTGGAATGTCTTGCTACGCGTGAGGAGTGAATGACGGGTGCGGGATTCGCGGAGGAAGATGGCCACTTCGAAGTCATCTAGGTGATTTGTTAACATAGTTGGCTTGAGAAAATATCAAGTGATCTATACCTTCTGCAATGACGTCTTTGACCGGCTTGCCCTTCTTGCGCATGAACAACCGCTCATTCTCTTCACGCAGCTTCGGAAGCACCAACGGTCGAATGGCTGCGATGACGCGGGGCAGGACAGGATCGCGAGAGTCCAGGAGCCATCGTGAGTCAGGTGGCGATTCCAGATAGATGCGGCATTCCAATACTGAGTATTTGCTGATGCGGAGGTATCGTCGAATGGGAGCCATGTTCGAATGAGCTGCGCAAGGGCGTGGTCAAAATGCCTATGACCTCAAGGTCATGCGAAGCGCATTTGCCGCCGAACCTCTGATTGGCGATTGAGACGCCTGAAAGGGCTGGCAGGAAACTTTTCAACTCAAGGGGGCCATCAACCACGGTTTCTTCCACCCCCTTCCAATCGTCCAATATTCCTAGACCTGTTATATCAAAGACAAAAAGATGGAACAAACATCAGGACATAGTGAGGACCTTATCGCCTGTACGGAGTACACGTGACCCAATCACCGCAATCGGAACCCTGGAAACTGACTCCCAAGGTCCTCAACGCGCTAGTCTTAGGTACCGGGTACTTTCGGATACACCCACAATTGTATTGGTACAGAGGTACCCGGTACTCGTGCGATAGAGTGTAAAACTCCGTCCTTGACGTCTTCGCGCTCCCAAGGTCCTCATGGATCCATCCGCCACCAGTGATTGATGTGATATAAGCAAAAGCTCCCGCAGATTTTGATGCCATTCTGATTATGCCCCTTACTTGAAGCAAGTCATTGATTCATATCTATACATCGGCTGAATTTTCCGATCTTGTCCACAGGGTACTCTTTCGAGAAAACCCATCGAAAGATTGCAGTGCGACTCAACGTGCTACTCACCGTACGAGTAATATACACGGGCGATCAGGATAGGAAGCCTTCATTTCCTACGCACTACCTTCTGTTGAATCGGCATTCACAAAGTTTGGCATTGTCAGAATATCTTGGTGATCTCATGCGTGGATAGTGGACTAAGGGACGAATCTCGCCTACCATCGAGGACCTTGGGGATTGCGGTCAACTAGCTTCCCACACACACCCCCGCCACAAGTTTGCGGTCATCAAACCCATCCTTCTCATCTCATCTAGACCATAAATCTTCTGTCAACTGGGATACTTGCATCAGTATCTACCTTTCTCATATTCTGTGCACTTTATTCGTTCCCGCAGAGGTTCTTTTTGTCCAACCTCTGCACTTCTTTCATACTTCTTGCGTCACCATCAATTGACCCCAATGGAATCTTACTCTACTATCCTCAAGCGTGAGGATGCTTGTGAGTCCGGGAATGAGTTCGACGGCCGGATGGGCCTGCGGATCTCCTCCATCTTTGTGATCATGGCTGGCTCCATGTTCGGTGCTCTATTCCCGGTCTTCGCCCGTCGCTTTAGCAGGAAAGGCGGGTTTCCCAAATGGGCATTCTTCGTTGCCAAATACTTCGGATCCGGTGTGATCATTGCCACTGCTTTCATTCACTTATTGGCTCCGGCGGAGGAGGCACTGAAGAATGAGTGCTTGACCGGCCCAATTACTGAATACAGCTGGGTTGAGGGCATCATCCTCATGACCATTGTTGTTCTGTTCTTTGTGGAGCTTATGGTAATGCGTTTCTCGCACTTTGGTCAAGGCCATGTGCACGACGAGGAAGGCAACACCCACACCCACCTTGATGACAACTCTATTGTCAACGAAGCCACTGAGCAGAAGCAGATCATGCCAGGGGAGGATCACCTCGGTCATTCCCGTGAGCATCACGATAATAACAGCGACTCCGAAAATGACATCCAAGCGACTGAGGACTATGCCGCCCAACTCACTTCCATCTTCATTCTGGAGTTCGGTATCATCTTTCACTCTGTTTTCATTGGTCTTACTCTCGCAGTATCAGGCCCCGAGTTCACTACCCTTTACATTGTGCTCGCCTTCCACCAAACCTTTGAAGGACTTGGTCTTGGTTCTCGTCTAGCTACAATCCCTTGGCCCAAATCAAAACGCAACACACCTTACTACCTGGGTTTCGGCTTTGGAATCTCGACTCCGATTGCCATTGCTATTGGCCTGGGTGTTCGAAACAGCTACCCACCCACCGGGCGCACCACCCTCATTGTCAACGGTGTCTTTGACTCTATCTCTGCTGGTATTCTCATTTATACTGCCCTCGTTGAGCTGATGGCGCATGAGTTCATGTTCAGCCACTCTATGCGCAAGGCTCCCATTCGTGATGTGCTGATTGCCTTCTTCCTTCTTTGTGCCGGAGCTGCGCTCATGGCGTTGCTCGGCAAATGGGCATAGAGGTATCTGCTGCTTGAGTGATGGTAGAAAAAATGGGAACATCATTTCCCAATAATGCGTCATGTCTTTGCTTTTCTTTGTCAAGTTTTTTTTATCTTATGGTCACATATTGTTTCTGCATCTGTGATACCCCCGGGACTCGGGCCAGTTTTAGCCATACCCATCTACGGCGTTTAGCGAATGTATCTACTTGAAATGAACAAAATTATCAGAACTATTCAACGGACAGTCAGTAGCAGTAGATAACATAACCGGTAGCAGATTTAGGTTTGGCATTATCGGTGTTTTATATGTCCTTTGCAACTGAGGCATACGGGTCTTCTATACGTCCTTGGCATCCCGAGGTATACAAGCCAACCCTGAAGCTAACCGTAGATAAGCCATTAGCTTACTTGTTAGTTCACGCTTATCCTTTTTCCTCTATAGGGCTAAATTCCTGGCCGGGGTTCCCCGCACTGTAGAACAGGTCGAAAATGAAATAAATAGTACGGGATTCCCAGGGATATTGGTACCTCCCCCCGGTCCTACCTGAAAGGGTCACAGTCCAAGAATTTTCCCAACCCAACTCTCAAGTCAAAATGGCTTCAGCGCGCAGTTTAACCGCGCTCCCTGGGTCCAATGAATCCAAGACTGCGGCTCAAGACACTATCGACCAAGATAACCCTACTCATTCATCGGGTACACCGTTGAGGCAACAGAGTCTGTCGGATCTCTTCACTATTGTGAGTCCATCATACCAGCATATCCATACCAGAATATTTTTCAGTGTTCCCTGCACTCGTGGTTCAAGTTGGCAAGTGGTAGACTGACCAATCGGGTGGTGCTCAACAGTTTGCAAGTGGCTTCGCTCTGATCAGCGATGGATACCAAAACAATCTGATGTAGGTCGAAGGATTGCCCCCATGCACGACTGTGTCTAACCACAGATTATCCCAAAGGACTATGACCAATGTCCTTCTCAAAAAGGAATATCCCAAGGAATATACTACCACCGTCAGCACACGCGTTTCGAACGCTCTACTTGTTGGCGAAGTTATTGGGCAGGTTGTCATTGGGTACGAACAAGACACGACTAAAGATTAGGGCTATGCAAGAGTTTTGATGACTGACGATACTATACCAGATTGACTTGCGACTATCTTGGTCGCAAGACGGCTATCGTCTTCACAACACTTATGATTGTCGTGGGAGGTATCCTCGCCACAGCCTCGCATGGTGTTACTATCGACGGCATGTTTTGGATGATGACGATTGCCCGTGGCGTTGTCGGATTTGGTAAGGAAGACCTCAATATACTTGCATGACTTGCGTGTCCCAAAAACATCATTCCAATATGTTTACTCTACTAACCATCTCCAGGCGCCGGCGGCGAGTATCCGGCCTCTTCAACCTCCGCCTCGGAAGCAGCAAACGATCTGACCCCGAAGCACCGTGGCCCGGCATTCATCATGGTAACCAACTTCCCCCTGTCATTTGGGGGCCCATTCGCGGTCTCAATATTCTTGATTGTACTCCTCGCCTGCCAACAATCTCACTACAGCACTGTATGGCGGGTGTGCTTTGGCATAGGATGCATCTGGCCGCTGTCAGTGTTCTACTTCCGAATCCGAACGCTTAACTCGGTTCTGTATCGACGCGGAGCGATCAAGAAGCACGTACCCTACATGCTCGTGTTGCGGTACTACTGGAGATCGCTGATTGGGACTTGCGGCGCTTGGTTCCTCTATGGTAAGAGAGCTCTCCAGTATTTATCGAGTGTATGTGGAAACTAACATGTATAGACTTTGTCACTTTCCCCAACGGTGTCTTCTCCGCCACAATTATCTCCTCAGTCGTGCACGACGGCACAATCCTGAAAACAGGCGAATGGCAGCTCCTCCTTGGCGCAATCGCGCTGCCAGGTGTCTTCCTCGGGGCGATTCTCTGCGACCGGCTCGGCCGCAAGCCCATCATGATGATTGGCTTCAGCGGATATCTAATCTTTGGCCTAATTATCGGTTGCGCCTACGACCGCGTTACTAAGATCGTACCTCTCTTTGTCGTCTTCTACGGACTAATGCAGAGCTCCGGCAATTTCGGCCCGGGCAATATGCTAGGTCTGATTTCGTCTGAGTCGTATGCTACCGGTGTGCGAGGAACTTGCTACGGACTCTCTGCGGCTATCGGGAAGGCGGGTGCTGCTGTCGGTACGCAGGCATTTCAGCCTATCAAGAATCATCTAGGGAACAAGTGGACCTTTATTGTTGCTGCTATTTGCGGTGTTGTTGGGATTTTGGTTACTTTCTTCTTTGTCCCTGATTTGACGGGCGAGGATTTGAGAGTGCGCGATGAGAAATTCCGTGCTTATCTTGTTTCTAACGGCTGGGATGGTGATATGGGCGAGGACGATCTGCAAGCGGCTGCTGATCAGGTCATGGCCCCGGGTCTTCCTAATGATGATACTAAGTTCGTGGACCAGACGGTCAAGGCTTAAATTGGCTTTCGGTGCACAAGAATCGGCGGATGGCCGAAGCTCGGAAAGGAGGATGTCAATATATTCCCAGATTATCTTGACTAGCAATTTCTCAGATCCCAGTTGGTTAGGTAGGATCACAGTATGACGTCCGCATAGTCGTACTTAATAGTGAAACACAATATTCAGAAAACCCGAACTATATAACTACTATATTGTTACAACTAGCTACATATATATATCCAACTCGTGCCTCGTTTGGTAAATTTAGCACACCAGTCACTGTATTGCGAGACCCCTCTCTCTTCTGGCCTCAAAACATTGATTCAAAGATATGTAACAAGCAATAACTAACTTACAAGAGATCCTCGACAACGACCGAGGTACAACATGAACCTTGAAACCATGAGCTTAAAGCACAGACCAACGCTAAACCTCGGTCTAATCTCCGCCTTATCTGTCCACATCCCCAAACTCATCTCTTTCCCCTCCCGACCCCATAAACAAACAATGCGTCTCACCTCCATTCTTGTCGCAGCCCTTGGCTCCCTCGCGGCTGCCGCCGAGCTTGGTATCGAAGTTACCCACGCTGTTGAGTGCACCCGCAAGACAACCAACGGCGATGGAGTCGCCATGCACTACCGTGGCACTTTGCAGTCCGATGGGTCCGAATTCGATTCCAGCTACAAGCGCAAAGCGCCTTTGACCTTCAAGCTGGGCACCGGTCGTGTCATCAAGGGGTGAGTTGAATCTATTTGGGGCTGATTGTGGATGTCATCACGCGATTGTCTACAAACCTCCTCATTGTCTTGGTTAAGGAAGCTAATTCATGTGTTCGTTGGCAGATGGGACCAGGGCTTGCTGGACATGTGCATTGGCGAGAAGCGCACGCTGACTATTCCACCTGAGTTTGGCTACGGCGACCGCGGTGTTGGCCCTATTCCCGGTGGTGCGACATTGGTGTTTGAGACTGAGTTGGTCGGTATTGATGGTGTGAAGGACGAGCTTTGAATGAGCGGTGCTTGATATCTACCTTTATGTTTTTCTCTGGGAGGGATTCCGATGACCAGGCCATTATTTTTGGCCGCGAACAAATATACACCTTTTCGCATGCAAGGTATATCATATAGCAGCTGGGTATCTCATCTATATATGGTAAGATGTACACGGTATCAAAACCGGCTGAACAATTACAGCAAAGTTAAACAGCAATTAAACAGTGGATCGAGTATCAATCCATCGCATCCAAAGCATTCTCAGTTTGGACATCATGCTCCGAAACCAGAATTCCGACAAGACACTCGCCAAGGATTCCCTCCCAGTTTACCCACGGGTGAATCTCTTGAAACAGCTGTGCAGAGTCCTTTCCCGCGCCGCGGAAGAGCTCACCCTTCCCACCTGGGTGGTAAGGGGCGTAGGGCGAGATATTGTATACCTTTCCATGATATGAAGTCCAGGCATCCCGGCCCTTACGCCCGTGCTGCTCCTTTAGCATTGACGGCGTGACCCTCAACAGGCCTGGGGGAAGGCCTTCGCCGCGGAGCTTGTTCTTCGGGTTCGCTGCTAGCGCTGCCCAGTCAAGAGGCGAGAATCCCGGCTCAAGAACTACTTGACGCGATGAAGATTTCTTCAGAGATACTTGTGTCGGGGCGAGAGTGATGTTGCTAAGACGGCTGCCGCTACTCGGTGCGCCCAGGCCACGCTGAGCGGCGGCGGCTGATGGTGGAGGGCCAAGGGAGCTTCCACTAAGCCGTGGTGGTTGAAGTGTGCTTGTGGGGGCGAGGCGGTTTGTTTGAGTTCCTGGCCGGGACCTTGGTACTGGGGGTGGAGGCATTAGGGAAGTAGCGCCGGTTGTTGTTGCCTTCGGAGGTGTAGATGATGGTTGTGGTTTTGGGGGAGGCGCGAGGGATGGTTGCAGTGGCGGTTGGAACTTTGGTATCTGTTCACGGGTTGTCGAAGATGTTTGCTTCGCGGCTCCATTCATAGGTTGTGAAATGGACGGCATCGTGGCGGGTTGCGATGTCTCGCGCTCGCCACTGTCTAGGCTGAATGTTGGGACCGTAAGGACCGAGGGTGGTGCGCTGGAAGCCGCAGCCTTGGGTGTGCTTTGGGAATCCTCCTCCTCCTCTATCTCTATTGGCGGTGTTGAGGCCTCTAAGCCATGCTTCCGCTGCACAGGCTCGTCTGCGGTGGTAGCGGCAATTGGCGCGTCGGGGGTTGGTTCCGGAGGGGCAAAAGAACGAGGCTCGGCCCAGCGGTGAGGAGGGTAGCGGTAGAGAAAGTAGCCTGTTGTTGCGATAAGCACGCCCACACCTACCCAGCCCATGCCGACCTAGATTAGAAATGTACTGAAAGTGAGGAGGATGAGTCCAGAGGGTTGTTCCTGATTAGAATTATGATCTTGCAGATTCGCCGAGAAAACTGGCCCGTGCGCGATCAATAAGATCTATGCGGCATTCAGACCTCGGGAGTCTGTTCAGTACAAGCTCTTAAATGTGTACTATTGGACAAAGTGATATTCGATATCTAACTAGTCAGGGGAATTATTTAGACTCATAACATGGAGATTTCTAAAAAAAGAGAAATTAATACGCCATCTGCTCAGGTAATCGATGAAGAAGTATACATTGCCGGTAGTCAAATACCAGATATCGTTCGCGAATATGTTTGGGAAAGGAGTGGAATAGACTCCGGGAAGGTCATTGAAAGCCACCAATTGGACAAAGGTGGTTAATCAAGCAGCAGTCAAAAATAGAAGGCGTTCATGATGTCAGGGGATCATCATCTATAGTTGCCCACACCCTTCATTAGTGATACGAGGGCATGATTCTGCACATCAACTGCCCAAGGATGGTTGTGGCCCACAGAGCTATGAGGGACCAGATGTTCCGTAAAACAATGTCTACCTCGGACGCAATCACGCTGTTTGATGCTGGGGCTGGTCAAGTGAGTGTCAAAGCGCAAGGCCATCGCACAACAACCATGCTTACCATTAATCAAATGGCAGTCCCAGGGTGGTAGGAAGTATCAAGAGGATCGGTGCGCAGTTGTTTTCCCGGATCAGTTTCCTTCGAACATAAAGGATAAAGTTGCATTCTTCGCAATCTATGATGGGCAGTAAGGATAGCCTCGAAATGTACCCTTTATACCAGTGTTAAACTAATTAATACCCCCAGTGGTTCTGGATTGGTTTCAGAACATGTTAATAACAGTCTGCACCATCTGCTTGGACGGCGTCCGGAGTTCGAACAAGGCGATTGGCCTGGGGCTATCAAGGCGGCACTGGCGGAGGAAGACAGCCTTCTGTTGAATAGGTTCACGCATGAATCTGCCGAGCCTGCCATTTCAGGGTCGACAGTGGCAATATGCTGCATTAACCTCACCAAAGGTGAGCTGGTAGTCTCCAACCTAGGCGACACGCATGTTATCCTGGCCGAGCGGGACCGGAAAACAGAGCACCCGTATCACATTGTATGCACTGTGATTGGATTGAGTTGAATTGAGCATGGATGCTAACAGCCGCACGCTAGCGACGTCTCACAGAGGCACACAAGCCCGATACTCCCAGTGAAAAGACCCGAATCGAGCAGGCAGGCGGTGAAGTTGTTAACCGCAGCGGCACGCAGCGACTTGGTGGGTTAAAGAGGAGATCGGCCCTCAAAACCACAACTGACTCCGCTGGACAGGCTCCTTAAACATGTCTCGAGCACTAGGCGACCTGCAGTACAAAAATCCAGTGAATACTTTCACGGACACCGCTATACTGGACCCCGCCTCATCGGCTACCAGCCGATCGGAGTCTCGGGGCAACTTCCTATCCAATGATCCATATACCTCGCGGCGGACATTGAACACCGACCGACGTTACCTGCTACTGGTGGTGTCCGACGGGGTTACCGATCGAGTGGACGACAAGAACCTGGTTCAGCACGTAATGAAATTATCGATGCGGGGGAAACGAGCGAGTGAAATTGCACAAGAAATCGCCACCAACAGTGCTAACAAACCGCGTAGTGACAATGCAACGTGCATTGTAGCGATGTTGGACGGACAGGGATCGTGAAATATAGATTATAGTCAATGCTACATATCCAGATAGGTGGTCCGAACGCATAGTCCTATAGTACCGAAGTAAAACAAAAGTTCCACTTGGAGAACATGTTATGCAGCTGTGCCACTCATAGTCCACCAATGGTTCGCTCTTTACCCAATGAAGAAGGTGGTGTTGGACTGATCTGGATTTTCTGGATTTTCATCGAATATTTAATTCCATTTTCTGATTATAAATATTTCATAAATGAATTTAACTATTTCTCTTTTCATTTCTTGGTCCGAGCCTAAGTGGAAAAGGAAAAAAAGAAGAAACCCTTTACCAATCAATTCAGCTGTGGCGTTTTTATACGGAGAAATCCAGGGAAATCTAGACATTTCCAAGGTTCAAGGAAACTTAGGTGCTCGGCTTTTCCAAGGTCCGTTTTCTGTTAAATGATACAATTTGAATTTTATACATACAGTTGAAACTTTAACAGTATAAAATGCTATCGGCTTCTCCGTAACCTTCCCCCCTATGGGACTGTCGCTTACCTGTTCTATCCAACCAGACATCGCGAATCTTCATACTCCAATGGAGCTACTGTTGAAAATCCAGAGGCTCCGACAAGGGGGGAGGGGGAACCAATCTGTTAGAAACCTATCAAACTACTTTAGGCAGGCGACTCAGTCTCGGGGTGGAGCTGGTAAAAAGAAGCATAAGATCCGGTTGTAGCCACCTTCCAGAACGGTCAATATTCAAGAGGATCTCCCGGGCTCGTTAGATACAAAATTATCCATCTATTCCACGAGGGGGGTTTTTTTTCTCTTCCCCTGATCTGATTTTTTCTCATTTCCGTTATTAATTAGATCTGTCTTTTCATCTATCGTGTCTTTTCAACGACCCTGACAGAAACCCCGAGACATCCGACTTGAAGCATCCAGCATGGCACCAAAGGAATGGAGCAACTTTCATGTGGGAAGAGACTGTAGCCACCAAAAGTGGTCTCGACGAAACACCCCCAAGTTCACCATCTCCTCCGGCGAGACTGTCTCTTTCGATGCTATCGACAGTAGCAATGGTCAACTCAACACGTCATCCAAGGCCTCGGCCATCAAGACGTTAGATCTTGGACTAGCCAATCCCGTGTTCGGCCCAATCTATATGAACGACGCTCAACCCGGTGATGTCCTAAAGGTGGAAGTACTAGACCTCGAGGTCGCTGACTGGGGGTGGTCCGCCATCATCCCAGGCTTCGGTCTTCTTGAAGACGAATTCCCAGAGCCAGAGATCAAGATCTGGGAGCTGAACCGTGAAGCAGGCTTCGCCCAATTTAAAGACATGCGCATCCCCTTGCGTCCCTTCCTCGGATGCATGGGTCTCGCCCCAGCCACCGACGAAGAACTCTCCACCGTACCGCCCACAAACGCCGGCGGAAACATGGACTGCCGAGAACTCAGCGTCGGCTCCACTGTCTTCCTTCCCGTCCAGACTGCTGGCGCCCTATTCAGCTGCGGTGACGGTCACGCTGCTCAGGGTCACGGCGAGGTCTGCGGCACCGCCATCGAAACCCCCATTCGCGCTACCCTCCGCTTCGAGCTCCTCAAGAACCAACCCTGGATGACCGCTCCCCAATTCCAGACTCCTCCCCGCGCTCAAATACCAAACCCCCTTCCCGACCTTGGAACATACGGTGCTCTCGGTGTTGCTCCTGATCTATACGAGGCTACCAGAAGCGCTACTCGGAATCTTATACAGTGGTTGGTGCAGACCAAGGGTCTCAACCGCAGTGAGGCATACATCCTGGCTAGCGTTGCTGGTGACTTGCATATCGCTGAAGTGGTCAACGTGCCCAACTATGAAGTGGCCATGACATTGCCCCTGGGCATCTTTTCTTGATATATTTTCTTTCTTTTCTTTCTGGGTGTCCTTAATTGATTTCAAGAGGACATATGCTGGCGTGATACCCTCCTGCGAATATTGATTGGTGTTGTGATTTTCGATTAAACATATACTGGAGTGGCTGGAATGATGTATTTGCATTTAGGACAAGAGTTACTCAGGCGAGCATTATATTCTTAACACGGAGTCTTCCCTTTGACCAAGAAATATATGGCTACTTAGATTGTACGTACCATTCATCTGTACAGTGACTTTCATCTATACCTGGCCCATCTTAGCTGCCACCGATATGATTCAATCCCAGGACAAACTGAGACTGACTCATCCCCGTGTTGGGGTTTACAGATAGTAATTGCTGGTTAGCATTGAATTACTGTCTACCGACTTTGTGTTCGTTGCTGATCCAAATACGATCTTGTTGGTGTATCTCAGGGACTCCAATCTGATCCCTTGGCATATATATGGCTGATCTCTTCTCAAAGAGCTTGATGCGAGATTTGGGGGTTTCTTAGGCATCCCACAAACAGTGATGGTCGGATATGTATCAAATCGGCGGCCTTGGCATACATATGTGGGTAACCAAGAATGGCCCGTGCATAGTTATATTGGGCAAAGAGCCCATATTGCGTGCTGTGTAGATCACAGGTAGTGTATTATCGATTCTTAGTTCTGTAGCTGTCGTCTGCGGATAACTTAGGGATAGTTTGGGGTAAATGAATCATCACATCCACATGTTGTATTCACGACGGCAGCACCAGAAAGAGCTATCATGGTGTATAGTGCGAGAAATCCATTCCTATTTCGAATCAGGCGACACCACATCTATGCGCGGTAAGAGCAAGAGCATCGTGTGGGATTTCGAGGACTACGAGACTCGTTATCGCTATTGTTTAGCGATGCTTTCCCGGCTAAAGCATTATCATGAACTCTATGTGTATCATGAGACAATATACGGGGTATGCCGTAAACCCATGGTGGTAACAATTCAAATCAAAATATCTGGGGTATGGGTTTGAACTCACATTAGGGCTCATTCTGGGGCCTCCAAAGCGAAGCCATTTTGGGGGCCAGATATGTGGGGGCCAGATCCATCCTGGGGGACATTCTTCGCTTCGGCCCGGATACGATGCATTTACCCGCTGAAGGGCTTATGATGGGGAATGGTTACTCCGTAGTCTGGATTAACATCTCACATGATTCATTATTGTCATGAACTGAGAGGCACGGAGCATGGAGCACAGTTGAGGTAGTTTAAGAACATTTTATGACTAGTGCACGCCTAGAGACTTTGAATTGCGCTTTTATCCCGTTTAATATCACTGATGCAGCCACAGCTAACTGCCGATGAACTTGGAAGCACCATTTGTCAATTTGGAGGTCGCGTTGCGCCGATACCTTACTGTCCCCATATGGAGGTCTAATGGACGAAAGGCTTCCTTTCGTCCTGTCAAAGCATTCTCCATAATGGACTCGATTTATATCGTCCCGCTGTTAGACAATCTGGGACGCTAAGCTTTATAATTAGTCCAATTTCTCGGGCGGCACTAACTCATTAGTAGCAATTACTCCGCATAAGCGAAAATAGTCGGTTCGTTTCATCTCGAATCTCAGGGGGGAAGCACAACCGAGATTGAAATTATGAAGTACGGAGTACAAAGTCTCCTATGACAAAGAGCAACATCCTTGCTCCATCCCTGCCTTTGTCCGCTTGGTTTCTCTGGTGACAAAATGAGATTCCTCTCTTTATGCACACTTTCTCTCGGCGTGGCTAGCTCGGCCGTGGCATCCACGACTAGTGGTGTCGCCCCTATCGAGATTTCGTCCCTTGCCAGTAGCTACACCTCCAAGCCCTATACCGATGCTGGCACTGTTGAGGCAATCCGAAATACCCTAGCCCTCTATGCTTTTGCTATTGATGGCAAAGACTTCGACGCCCTCAGCAAGGTCTTTACCACTGATGCGGTAGCCAACTACTCGGCCCCCCTCAACGTATTGACCCCACTGAAAAACATTCAATCTGTGCTGGACACAAGCTTGGCATGTGTAACCACGCAGCATATGTTTGGTACCCAAAGAATCGATGTACTGTCACCCAGCACGGCCAAATCGGTGACATACTACCGTGCGGCTCACTTCGGGAAAGGAGACAAGGCGAGTGAGGTAGCCTATGCTTATGGCCAATATCAGGATAACTGGCAACGTCAGTCTACTGGTAATTGGCGTATCGTTCATCGCAATCTTGTTTATATGGTAAGTGCACTACCCTCTGAGCTGACCACAGCAAAATATACTAACTCAATATCTACCTAGGGTCCCAACATTGGCGACTTGTCTGTTTTCGTATGCTAGTTTTTTTTCCTCCAAAAAAAAGCCAATATGTATGTTTATAGCCTCACAAGTGACGCCATGAGAGTCAAGAGTTACTAGCTGCTTAAAATCCTGTGGACGTGCCGGGTATCTTGTGTAACTTGTTGGCTCTCTCTTACCTAGTCGACAGACATTGCCTGTATTCTCTATTTTAATCATTCTACGTGTGGAAATGTTCTATCGACCAAGACAACAGGTCATTGAAATTAGCCTTGTTCTCTTAGGTGGGTTAGATGCCCTTAGAATTTCAGCTACTCTAACACTAACTCACATGCACCGTACTATACCCAGTGACCTTCACAACATTTCTCTTGACTAGTGGCATCATCATAGTATGTACATCTATTTGATTGAATTTGTGACTAGAAGGCTGCTTTATAGATTCTAATTGATACCTGTTAACTCCACCTTCACATGTCAAGTTCGTCCCACCGTAGATTCCGGTATATTTAAAAAATTTAATCGGTATGAGAGGTAGCAACGTTAGCATTGCTTAGATTTACCCCTGCCTCGAGTCATCTCAAGACATATCGGACTTTGACTGATTGGATCAGGTTCTGCTATACCCGTCTTACCGTAGACTTGATAAATACATATGTATACAGCTAGGATGTTATGTCATGCATAAGATAGATAGACCCTGGGCCCAGACCTTGTGCAGCCTAGTATGTATATAATCGGAATTAAATTATGCTCAAGTGATAACACAGTGGCGAGAAGTGAGCCCTAAAAGGAAAATGCAAGCGAGGTTCATCCTAACTCTTTACCGGACCTGCCTTTTGTGGTCTAATGGCTAATTCCTCTGGGTCAACGGAAGGAAGGATTAACATTCATTCCCAGATTCTCTTCTCATGGGGCCTGTCCCGCTTTGCTTGAGCGCTTGTATCAGATAGGCAGGTCGGAATCCGGCACAACGGGAGACATCGGGCCCACTGCCGGTGAAGATTGAAAGAGAAACATCACGTCAACAGATGAGCTCGGGGACCTTGTAAGCGAGTCATGCGATGATACCTCCGACGGGGAATTCTTTTCAGGTCCGGGTTTCCATTTTGTTGGCTAGGGTACAAAAGTCCCCAAATTCCGACTCCGGACTCCGAGTACTTCGTCAATCTAGATCCAATGACCACCCATCATCTTAAGTCGGTTTGTAATTTGACCGAGAGGCAAATTCCGGGGTGAGATTCTATAAGCGAGGCTATGGCATGGAAAACTCTGCCTAGCATCCGGCGTATGAATCATTTTCATGAATTTTATATCCCGTGCCGTTCTTGGTAGCACATGGACAGATTTGTGTGCCAAGAGATTTGATTATTGGCATGAGATGAATTGCGTTTTTTTTTGTCGAGACCGAGATTGTGAGTTTTCGAAATCTATAAGTCCGGCTATAACGATGCAATATATCTTGGGGTGCTCCGTAGGAGTCTACATTTACTCCGTGCTTGCCACCACACAAGGCTGGTATATTACAACCTACCTTCATTGGCATTTGATCAAATATTCTACATGAAGCTCATTCTTCCCGTTTTTTCTTTGGATGGAGTGGAATTTGAGGCAGCACCTGGCAATTTCGGTAATTCCATGGTGGAGTCCTCAGTCTTGTATGGAGTAGAACCAAAGAGCTGGTCGCAATATAGCGCCAATTAAGTATCAGGAAGAACTTCGGTTAGTGTAAGGCGTATTGTTTGGAGGTGCTTTGTAGAGACTCCATCTTAGTTGTTCTTCCTAGGGTATATATAGATAGTGAACAGCATTGCAACTCCCAACACATTGTTATAGTAAAGACGGAACATTCAATGCCATCAGCATATACCACGAGGTTAAGCTAGTCCGAATTAGACATATAAATTGTCTACACCTCAGAATATTGGACTTGAAGTACTCCGGCCAAACCTCCTCTATTCAACCCGGAACCATCCACTCTGTGAAGGCCTTCGGGGATCGCCGCCTCACAATTTGCTCCTCAATGCCCTCTAGCATCTGAAACATCAATATTTCTAGACTTAGAGACAAGTAGCAGCTTCTAATTCCCTCGATTCTTTTTTAATCGACTTATTCATTGTAGAGCGGAAGTGTCACATGACGTCGCGTTTTCTCGCGTCTCCTCCTCACAAGCAACCGACCATTGGTCAAACACCCTACATGTCATGGATCCGATCTTAGATGGCTTGAATCATGCTCAACGAGAAGCTGTCACCTCATCCGGCTCCATTCTTCAAGTTCTGGCACCACCGGGCTCAGGGAAAACAAAAACCTTGACCGCACGCGTCGCGTACCTCCTCTCGCACCATGGATACCAACCTCAAGATGTTATTTGTTGCACATTCACGATCAAAGCCAGCCGTGAGATGCGCGAGCGACTCGCAAAACTTATTGGAGAAAAACTCGAATCGCGGTTGATTCTCGGCACTTTCCATTCCATCTGTCGCCGCTACTTGGTTAAGTACGGGTACTTGATCGGCCTGCGGAAGGGGTTTGGCATTGCAGATTCGGATGATACTCGCGCAATCATCAGAGTATGATTTGCATTCCTAGATTCTATCCACTTGTTTCTCCTCTCTAATTGTGATCACAGAGAACCATTAAACGACTGAAGTCTAGCATTGAAGTCAAGGCAGCGCAAGGCCGAATTTCTCGACATAAAGCACATGGACTCACTCCTGATGGCGTAGCTGATAGAGGCAAAGCAGAGGAGCTGGAGCTTGTTGATATTTATCGTGACTACGAATCCGCACTGGCAGCCTCCAATCTCTTGGATTACGATGACCTCCTTCTGCGATGTGGAGATCTGCTCCGAGACCACCCACAGTGTGTTTCAAATGTGCAGGCTGTCTTGGTGGATGAGTTCCAGGACACTAATATCATACAATATGAGCTGGTGAATCTGTTCGCATCTAAGAACCGACGAATCACTATCGTCGGAGATCCGGATCAAAGCATCTACGGGTTTCGTTCTGCAGAGATTCAAAATCTCAAGCGGATGCAGCGGCGATATACAAACACAACGGTTGTACTCTTGGAAGACAATTACCGTTCTGCGGGCTCTATCTTGAATGCAGCCCAAGAAGTGATTGAACAGGACACAAGTCGGCCTGCAAAAGCACTCCTGGCTACGCACACTTTCGGAACCTTGCCGGTACTGAGAAGGCTCCCAAATCCCAACGCAGAGGCGCAATGGATGGTACTCGAGATTAAGCGTTGTGTAGCGATGACCGGCGGTCTATTACGCATGTCTGACTTTGCCGTCCTGCTTCGGTCGGCTTCACTGTCTACACAAATCGAAACCGCCTTTGGAAGAGCGGGTATACCATACAAGATGGTTGGAGGACGAAAGTTCTTCGATCGAACTGAAGTCAAGATTATTCTCAATTACATGAGGGTTGTCAGCCACACGGGACATTCGGACGCATTGATGAATATTGTGAATGTTCCGCCACGAAGGATTGGCGATGAGACAATCAAGCAATTGACTAGTGGTGCGGAGAAGGCCAAAATTCCGCTCTGGAACTTCATCAAAGATGTTATCCAAGGACGCCGTTCGACTGAGAAGAAGCTTCAAAAGGCCGCAGAGCAGGGACTTTGTGTTTTGGTCAATTTGATTGAAGCCTCTAGACAAAAGTTGCAAGAGTGCGAGGATGCATCGGCTCCCCGTGTTTTGATCGAATTCATTGCCGAACGTCTGTCGTTCCAGGAGTATCTCATCAGAACCTATCCCCTTGACGAAGACAGTCGCTGGGCGAATGTCAAGGAACTGATGCATCAAGCCAGTGAAGTCGCAGCGTTTGGAGACGAAGAGGTTGATAAAGAAATGGATCTCCCCGTAATCGAAGGTGTGCAGCAGCAGCAGGCACATTCTGGCGAGGAGGCTCTCACTCGATTTTTGGCAAATGTCGCATTGGCTACGGAGATCACAACCAAAGAAGAGGCCAAGGAAGGAGACCAACCGACGGAGAAAGTCACCATTTCAACTATCCACGCTGCCAAAGGTCTGGAATGGCCAGTTGTATTTGTTCCCGCTGTATACAATGGGAGCATTCCTCACTCGCGTGCGGAGGTGGTAGAAGAGGAGAGACGATTGCTGTATGTCGCAATGACAAGAGCACAGGCCCTGTTATATCTGAGTATTCCTATTCGACAACCCCGGTTAGGAGAAGGAGAAGATGGTGCGACCACTTTGACACCATTCCTACCTCCCAAGTTGACTAAAACACGCTTTCGGGCGACGGGGCCGTCTCTTCACGAGAAGGTGGTGTATGCAATTGCCGATATTCTGCATCGCCCTCGGCCATCTCTAGAAGACATGTACAAGGGGCTCGAGTTTCTTCCATCGACGCTGGACGACCGATGGACACCCGAGGGCGAGGAAGACCGCAGCAAAATCGATGGCACATCTACTCATGACGCCTCTGGCGAGCCCAATCCAAAGCGACGACGGTCAGACATGAACCAGGGCCCCAAAACGACTACCTACATCTCTTCAACTGGGTATACCATGAATAATTCGACAGGGTTTACAATTCCTACAACCATTTCATCGGGGTTCACATCTGCCCGGGATTACATAGCGGCCAACCCCGAACCCCCCGCGCAGTCCGCCTCTAAGCCTCCGGCTGATGCAGATGCACACGCAGCTGGGCCAAACAAACTGAAACCGCTTAGCAGTGTCAGTCGTAAAGACGGACTCACACAAGCAAGCATCTCCAACTTTTTTGCAGGCCCAGGATCCCTCCAGAAGAGGGAGCCAGCTCTGCCTAGCTATCCACAGCCACCATCCCGCAGATACGAAGTGCCCCCGTCCCAGAACCAACGTCCAGGGGCAAGGAGCATCGTTCCAGCTCCTCTCTCCTCTCACCGTGTTCAACCACGACCACTTGTTCCAACGCGCCCGACCCTGGAGCCTACAAACTCCAATGGCTACACGTGGCTGGCAGCCCCATCGAAATCAACCGTGAAACCTGCCAGGATGACAATGACGCAGGAACAGA